TAAAACATATTTCAGCTATTTCTACACAAAAAAAACACATAATAAATGTATTTAAATTATTTATACTAGTTATACTCAAACGTACATAAAATGTTTTAAACTTTTTATTTGGTTTAAAATGTTTTGCATAAACTTTTTATTGGGTTTAAAATGTTTTGCATAAACTTTTTATTTGGTTTAAAATGTTTTGCATAAACTTTTTATTTGGTTTAAAATGTTTTGCATAAACTTTTTATTTGGTTTAAAATGTTTTGCATAAACTTTTTATTTGGTTTAAAATGTTTTGCATAAACTTTTTATTTGGTTTAAAATGTTTTGCATAAACTTTTTATTTGGTTTAAAATGTTTTGCATAAACTTTTTATTTGGTTTAAAATGTTTTGCATAAACTTTTTATTTGGTTTAAAATGTTTTGCATATACTTTTTATTTGGTTTAAAATGTTTTGCATAGTGTTGTGACCAAAACTAAAAATTGTAACTAACTAAACTAAAAATACCATAACTAAAATTAGTTAACTAACTTTTTAGTTAACTAAAATTAGTCGACTAACTTTTTAGTTAACTAAAATTACGCGACTAACTTTTTAGTTAACTAAAATTACGCGACTAACTTTTTAGTTAACTAAAATTACGCGACTAACTTTTTAGTTAACTAAAATTACGCGACTAACTTTTTAGTTAACTAAAATCAGTCTACTAACTTTTTAGTTAACTAAAATTAACCGACTAAGCTTTTTGTTAACTAAATCTACGCGACTTTGTTTTTAGCCGAACTAAAGAATTTTATAAATATATAATATAAATAATTTTGGTTCATGATATCATTTCTATTAGAATTTTTGAATAAGATTGCGAATGCATAATCATTTTATCGTATAATACCGCAAAAATAAAAAAATATCAAAATAATTTTCTTTCAATTTTCAGTTCCAAAGGTTTAGTATCAGTGTATCAAGATACTTCAAGAAAATATTATAAACAAGATACTTCAAGAAAATTTTTCATAAAAAATCCAAAAAGTAAACATAGTAAAACACAAATATCTTTAGAATTGAATAAGCTACCAAGGCCAACGCAAAGAGGTGTAAGGATGGGTTGGTTGGTTTCGTGTGTGACATCCCATCAATGAACTTTTAGCTCATTTAGTAAGCCAATTTGACTCTTTTAAATAAGTAAGTTGGCAAATGTAGATTTTCAGAACAGTCAGTTGGTAAATTTAAAAAAACAAGAAATTTTTTTTTCCTTTTTCTAGTAAGTAAAATTTTAATGGCACTCTCTACGTGTTACCTACTTGTGCCGGCCCTGTAAGCTACAGTATATTACAATAATTCGGTTTTATTATGTGCCACTTTTTTGGGTCCAAATTATAAAAGTTTTCAATTCTTTGAAAAGTAAAAGGGAAAAAATTTTTTTAAATGCGTTAGAGAATTTTTGTCGAAATTTCATTAAACAAAAAAAGTTTGTTATATAATTCTATTTAAAAAGGTGACAAACATATTAAAAAAATTTAAGTTATCATTTGACGATGAAGATGGTATTTCCGGAAACGATAGTGACAAAATAATAAGTTTAGATTTAAAAAGAGAAATTAGTGGTTATATAAAATTGTCAGTAAATGAGCAAAATGTTTTTTACACTTTTGGTATCAAAACTAACATGTATTTCCAATAATGTATTGTATTTCAACAATGATTTTATGTACGCCTGCTACCAGTGCACTAAGTGAACACCTTTTCTCTGAGGCATTAAACACTTATGCATGCAAAACGTATGCAAACTTATACTTACGTATGCAAAGCAAAACAGAATATCAACTGAATGTTTTCAAATATTGATGTTTTTGTACGAAAATTTGGAATTTTTTAATTTAGTTTAAATTCATTAAATTTAATACTGAAGTTTTTTCTTGTAATAAATATTTTTTAATATATTTATTGTTCTAAAAGAAATATTATTAAATTTAGTATACGAACTCTTTTGTGTAAAACTGATTTTTTTTTTTTTGATACAAAAAATTAAAAAATTAATATAGTTTTTTAAATTTAAAATGTGTTAAAAAAAAAAAGATAAAGAAAAAATTTTAAATTAAAAAAATTAATGTGTGATTTTAATGTTCTTGAGCGTGCGGTTTTATTATAATGTTGCCTAAAACAGCAAACTTTTTTACCTTTATTATTTTAATAGTTTGGTTTATTTTTTTTAATATTTATTTATATATTCTTTAGTATTTTTTTAAACATCTGTCTAATAAAAAAATATAAAAATAAATATAATAAAAAAGTTATTGAACTTTAATTGATAATTGTTTCGACCCGGTTTTACACGTATACAAGTGCTTAAAAACTACGTATTGCATTTTTCAAGTAATTAAAATGTAATAAACAATTTCCTGGTTTTAAAAGCGACCCCAGTTACTTAATAAAATGTTTTCGTTATTCAACAGTTAATACATTTTATACACTATTCAACAACTTATATTGCGGATATTGCATTCAAAAATGCAAATAGCAATTTTCCTTTTAAATTTTGCAAGTATCGCCAACCGACAAACAACTATACTCTGAAAGCAAAAAAAATAAATTCATAATAACTTATTTAACGATTTCCTTTTGGGTTCATGTCAATACTATCGCCTGCCTTACTATAGTGTTTGCGGGTTGTAATAGCCGTTAGGAGAGGTTAATATTTGAAGAGGTGGGGAGGGGGAGTCATAGATTTGTTGTGAAAATTAGAGATTGAATCCATTCCTATAATATGGCAGGGGACAGGGCTGTACTGAACAACGAAGACGTAGGGGGAGGGGGTACAAATGAAATAAGCTTTTTTACCATAAAAATCTCATTAAAGTAGGGCTTTTTTTATTTAAAAGCCAAGTTGCAGTTTTAACCGACCGAGTCTCAAATTTTCTAAATTACCGACAAAACCGACAGAATGTTGTAACCCCTGGAAGGTGCCCATACTCACGTCGGTACGGCCTTGGCAGGAGAGATTATTTTTGATTTGCGATTGTTTTCGCACACTACCTATAGGAAGCAGCACATAAAAAATATAAGTTAAACGTTCAATAAGCGTACCAAATTTGATATAATTGACTTAAGGGCATTATTTGTATATTCCATGCTAATTGGGTGTTTATAAACAATTGCAACAACTTCATAGGCAGTTGTCTCAGACCTGGGAAAAAAGTAAAATAATCAAATTTTGCTTAAAACATTTCTTTTGAATAACAGTTTAGCTCGACTGGGCTCTAGGATTCACAACTAGTAAAGTGTTTAATTACGATAAAATAATATTTATCGCCTTAAAAATGCTTCTTCGTGTGTAAAATTTTTATGCGAAAGATTATTTCTTTTTTCAAGCACTAAATCTTGCTTTAGTCGACTAAATTTAGTTACACTAAATATTTAGTCGACTAATTTGAGTTAACTAAAAAGTTAGTCGACTAATTTTAGTTAGACTAAAAAGTTAGTCGCTTAATTTTAGTTAGTTAAATAGTTAGTCGGGTAACTTTAGTTAGCTAGAAAGTTAGTCGGGTAATTTTAGTAAACTAGAAAGTTAGTCGGGTAATTTTAGTTAACTAAAAAGTTAGTCGACTAATTTTAGTTAACTAAAAAGTTAGTCGGGTAATTTTAGTTAACTAAAAAGTTAGTCGCGTAATTTTAGTTAATAAGTTAGTTGACTAATTTTAGTAAACTAAAAAGTTAGTTAACTAATTTTAGTTAGACTAAAAATTTAGTTATATATTTTTAGTTAGACTAAAACTAACCTTAACTCTCACCCCTAGTTTTGCATAAACTTTTTATTTGGTTTAAAATGTTTTGCCTAAACTTTTTATTTGGTTTATACTGTAAATAAATGACCAAATAAAAGTTTTTTTATAATGATCAAATATAATATATTTGAAGAACCTTTTGAGCTGTATAATTATTTAATTAGTTAACTAAAAATAAATATTTTTAGTTAATTAATTAAATAATTATATAATATAATGGTACAAAATTAAACAACTCCCTGATTTTCCCTGATTATATCTAAAATTTACCTGACTTGGTGGCAACCCTGTAATATAAAGTTTAAGGCATTAACTCGTAATATTTTTTGCAATTTGTTGAAAATCGATATACTTGCATTCTATAAATATTATTAAATGTATGTTTATTTGGCTAATGCCTAAAAAGTTTAGATTCGATATAAAAGTCCGAAATTTTCTTTCAATTAAATGTGTTTTTAAAATCCAAAATTGGCTTTCAGTTAAATTTGGTTTATAAGTCCAAAACACAGCAAGTAATGATAATCAAGCATAACCTTGGCCTTAAACAAAATATCAAATTTGATTAGCAAGATTTGGTAAGGAGTTTTTATTGATCTGCCGCTTGTACTTAATAGATTTAGAAATATTATTATTATTTGTTAGGTCAAGGACGTAAAATAATATTATTTTACGCCCTTAGTTCCTATATTGTTAATTATGAAAAGTAGAAGAATGATCTGATAAGTATGTCTTAATTATAAAAACATAGTGAAACAATATAAACCCGTGAAAATATAGTTAGTGATTATATTGTCTAGTAAAGTAAAAGAATTCTTTGATATTCTGGTTGACTTATTTATTGTTGGAAATAACATTATGTTGAAGTGTATCTATAAAATGATAAACTTTCATTTGAAGGTAAAAAAAATTATAGAGAAAACTATGGGGATCGTGCTATGAAATGAACATGAACAAATATTTGTTTTAAAATAAATACATTGTCAGTAAAATTGATATGTGGTGTCTTTAAACACAAAATTTTAATTTTACTCAAGTGCAAAAAAGCGTGTGAATTTACCACAATGTGTGATATTTTTCTTTTAAAATGAAGATCAAATGATGGTAATTATTACGCCTAAATACCAATAATCAATAACTCCACGAAAAAACTAAATATTAATAAACCAATAACAAATGAATAATAAATTAAAAGATTAAAAATACTGATATAAAAAAAATAAAAAATAAATTTAGTAAATTGTACATCATTTATTATTATCAATACAAATCAATTCAAAAATATTTTCGTTACGAATATGAATTTCCATAATCTTACGCAACGGGGTCATAACAAAACGGTAATAAAGTAAATGTCAGGAATGCAAAGGTTACCGCTTTTAGATAATCTTTTTTAAATACATCTTTTTAAATACAAACTTCAGTAGAATTTTAATAAAAAATTATTCAGAGTATCCACTTTACTCTTTGTATCCATGAATCGTTTTTCAGCTTTCGGAAAAAAAGTCCTTCGGCGTTTCCTAAACATTCGGAAAAACCACAAAAATACAAGAGTATTCGATTACGCACGGGAAAGAATTTACAAATATTATAAATATTATTTATATTATCGTAAATAATATTATTTATCGTAATATTATTACCTAACCATTGATATGGCCCAAGAGTATAAATTTGTTCATTATCGCCTTCTAAATTTTTTACAAAAGTTGAATTGAGTTGGTTGAAAGCGTTGTCTAAAAACTGCTGATTTGTTATTGCCAACCATTTCTTGTAATAATTATGAAACATTAAATACATTTTTCTATTTCGATGAACCGCATAAAGTTCTTTTGTTACCGAGTGACGACCGAGAACGAAGCCAACCTGAACATCCATAGCTGAAAAAAAAATCGAATATAAGCGGAGAAAAAAATTGAAATTCCCAGTTAAATATTTTTCAATAAAATTGTATTTCTCAATAAAAACCTCGTCATCATTTCAACTTCAAATAATATAAAGATAACACGATTTCATTATGGATTTGTCTTTTTTCTGAGTAAACATCTTGAAAAAGGAATTTCTTTTAAAGTTAAATAAAAGCATGAGTTTATGATTGTAACATTTTTCTTCTATAAACAAATTTTTGAAATATTCACTTAATTTATTTTGCTCTTCCACGCCTTCAAACACTCATTTCGGTTGGTGGCAATATGCTTTGAAAACTTTACTTTATGTGTATAAAACTTACAACACAAAAAGTCAAAATTAAAACTTCACAAAAGGAGTTTTTAGGATGCAAAGACTTTTTTGAAAATGTTATTAGTTGTCGGAGCGAAGTTTTTAATTTATATTTATATTCCAAAGAGAATTTGCTTTTCAAAGTTACGCTTTAAATGTCTCTTAATGTCTTCTAAACAAATTAATGTAAATAAAGTTTAGAAGTAGGTAAAAACACGTTTGAAAGACATTTAAAACGTAACTTATAAAAATCAATCCTCTTAGAGATAAATCCTAAAGAAAATTCCGACTCCTGATTCGCATGTTCCTTGCTGCATAATGCAAAACATAATCTAAAATTCAATTATTAGTAAATGTGTTAGGATAACCAACTAATAAAACATCTATTTAGTTAATTAATCCCATTCATTCAAGTTTAAACCTTATCAACACCAAAATTTGAAATACAAAGTACTTATTAAATGTGCTCAGCCATATTTAGCCGTCTTATCTCAATGTTTGGTTATAGTTAACTTTTAACTATTATTTATATATATATTTTAGCATCAATTAAAAAATTGATGTTGTATTAGAACAAGTTAGACCAACTTTTAATTGAAAACTGTCTAAAAAAAAATACTTTTAAACTTGTATTCTTTCAACTCTTATTTTTAACTTGGGTGGATTCTTGTAAATAATACACCAAACAAAACAGTTTTTTACTGTTACTTATTAACTCAACATAAATTTTCATATTTTTCTAGCAAAAGTATACATCAGTTGAACAGGTTTAGCATTAATGGTAGAAACTTCAGTAACCTATAAACTTATGGCTACAAAATAAATAAAAAATGAAGATAACTTTAAAAATCTGAATGAGTAACGCTCCAGTATAATTGTTAAAAAAGCATATACTTTTATTTTTCAACTTAATCCAGAATTTCCTGACCCATTGACAGCAGGTAAAAAGGTTTTCCTGGGATCACGGAGTTCTCTACATTAAATAGTTTTTTAATTATATACTTTTTTTAAATTTTCAAAAAATAAAATCTCCATAGATAATTCTAATAGTAAAATTGGTATATATAAAAAATTCGCTTTCATAGCATTAAACAATTTAAATAAAACTGATAATTAAAAAAATCAAATCACCTGTCCATAAATATCCTTCATCATCAGAGAAATAACATACAGATTTTGTACTAAAGTAAATACTCAAGGTTTAATGTGGTATTTAACAAACAGAATGACACAGAACAAACCTTTTTTTACATATTTCAATAATAAATAATAAATTAATTTATATTTAATTATATATTTCAGTAACAACTAATAAACTAATTTTTACCATATAACTAATAAAACACAGGATCCTGTGGCGCAGAATCTTAGGACCCAGTCCTAAGATTCTGCCCCACAGGACCCCAGTCCTAAGACTTTGCCCCAGGACCACCACATTATTATTCTTTTAGTACATTAGTACAAAGTTCATAAACAAAGTTTAGTAGTAATTAGTTTTGATATAATTATAACAATTATAAGACGAATCATATCATATAAAACACTATTACTTTCAGAAAAACAGCATTGATTTTACTTTTTTTATGAATTGTTCAACATAAAATTATTTAACTTCAAATATTTACATTTAACTTATATAAACATATTTATTTTTATAAACATTTAACTAACTTAAATATAAAATTAAAAATCTATACCTGGGATGATGTTGACTCATACATACATATATATGACTGTTATATTCATCCCAATATATTCCTCGCCCATAGCTTTCTATATATTAAAGTAGACTAATAGTTTTAAATAAAAAAAACACTAATAATGTAAACTGCAAAACAAGTTTAAAACAACAAACAAGTCATAAAACAAAGAAAAAAAAACCTTTAAGAAATTCTTGATTTGAACTGACTGGTATTTTTGGATTGTCAAAACATTCAACTTGCTTTTGAAATGTTCTAACTATTCTCTCACATTTTTCAGTTTCAACTTGGAGTGACAACATCAACGGAATTTTTAACATAAATACACCAGAGATTGGACACAACGAGTTGTTATAAGTTGCAGTAAAATTGTAATTAAATGAATCCAAATAGGTGAAATTTCCATTGAACTAAATTAAAAAAAAAAAACAGATTAAAAAAACATTATACAAAACTCATGAAAAATTATTTTAGTAAAAAGGTGAAAAGCAGTGATAACATTCTGATTGTTCAAAAGCATAAGGATTGTTCAAAGGCATAAAGGCAATGGTGTATAATAAAATATAACATATGTAATATATTATTTCTATGTTATAAGTTATAAATTATATATTTGAAAAAAATAAAAAAAAAGAAAAAAAAAAAAAGAAAAAAAGTTAAGTAAACGCAGTTCATTTTGTGAACATAAAAATTTCTTTAGTTTCTTTAGGTTTTAATTTATAAAGCTACATCTTATTTATTAATATTTTTTTATTCTAGCCAAAATAACCAGTTTAAATAATCTCAAATTAAAAATGTTTTATCAAAAAAATCTTATGCAACACTATTATTATTAAACACTATTATTTATTAAACTTTACTAAACTTTTTATTTATTTGTACTCTTATTATACTTTTTATTTATTAAACTTTGCAGAGAAAAAAGTATTAAACTAAATCTTAAGCAACACACCTAATCTTTGCTTTTAAAAAAACTCCAAACTCCTTGCTAGACTTTATGTAAACTCTTTCTAGACTTTATGTAAAACTCGTAACTCCTCGCTAGATATTATATAGGAAATGCTTTTCAAGATACATCATGTGGAATTCCTAACTCTTGCAAAATACTTCAGAGAAGTTCTAAACAATTTTTCCACGATTACAATAACTTATGTTGTTCTTTTAAATTTGTTTTTAAAATGCTTTCCACTTTTAAAGATAATCGTGATAAATTTGGTTATCTGATCAAGAAATAATAAATGAAAGCCCCTTTTGCCATAAAAATAAGCTTATGACTTATGTTTACTTCACATTATTATTTTGTTAGGAAATAAATATCTTAAGAAATATAATCACATCAACATTTTCAGCTGAAGCAATTGCAGAAGTTTTAAGTAAAATGCACAAACATGTTGCAATGTAAATAATTTATTTAGATTTATTTTTCAAAAAAATTTGGTTGAATTAAGTTACTTAAGTTCAAAAAAATAACAAACTTATAAAAAATTGACATATTATAAAAAAACCACTTCAACTTAATACCAATAAACTATCTATTATTATTCAATAAACTATCCAGAGACTTGTAATAAAAATTTTGTGAATCTTTTAGTCTTGGTTCCCGTTACTTAGGCAAATACATAACTGAGGTCCTGAGGTTTAATATAGTAAAATTCTAACTACTGAAATTTAATTAAAATTAACTATAATTAATTTGAACTTTTTATACTTAATAACTGAAAAAAATATTAAAAATAACTTACTGAATACCTTAGTCGATTGGCTTGAGTCTTAACAAAGCGTTGAATAACACTATCAGATATAAAGGTAAAAAATGGTGGCAAAAAATATTCAAACTCTAAGCTAACATTTGATGGTTTTATGAATGTTGGATAAATTTGTAAGTTTAGTAAAGTCAAATTTCTAAAAGTAGAAAAGTTTAATTAAATTAATTTAACATTTAAAAAAAAGTTAATTTAAAATTTTTTGCTTTTTGTTTTTTTAATTGAAAAAAACAAAAAGCAAAAAAAAAAAAAATTTATCATTTTTTCAGAGTTTTAAAAAGAGAAGAAAAAAAAAGCTATAAAATATCAAATATTTTTATCCATCAAAGTACTTATTTTAAACATTTATTAAAAATAATTTTATCCTTATTTTAATCTTATATAACTACAAAAAGTATTGTTCTTCTGAAACATTCAACATTTTAATGGTAACTGAAAAAATTTAACTTTTAACAAAATTAAAACATACACTTCCATAGAAACTGTGTTAAAAACATTCCACAATGGAGCTAAAATATATCATTAATACAGTAATTATGAACACATATTATTAAAAAAAACATAAATAAAATAATATTAAATAACATTGATAAAATAATATCATAAAAACCAATATATTGAACAAAACTTTGCTAGTTGTGGCCCTAGTAGAGAAGAGGGAGGTTTCTACAATCATTTTTTCTAGAGGAGGAGAGGGAGATTTTTACAATTATTTTCTCTTCTATTCATTTCTTTCCCTATTTTATTATTATTATTGTTATTATTTCTGTTTGATGCTCACCTACCTACTACATATAACCAATTGAAAGCTAAAAAAACAATACATAAACAAACTAAACAATAGCAATCTAATTGTCTAATCATATTGTATCATGCTTCAACAATGTTTTAAAAATTGTTTTGAAATTATTGCGAAAAAAAAAAAAAAGTTATATTTATTGTTTGATGTTCAACATCGAAGTATACAAAGGGTGTTAAAAAAACATTAAAATTAATTTATTCAGTTTATATAGAAAAAAAAATTTATATTTATACTTAAAATAGTAAATACTTGAATGCAATAAATTAGTTTTTCAAACCTTTTTTTAGAAGTAAGCTTCCATGATGAGAAAATTTGATGCAAGCTGCTTTATGTTCATCAATCAAAAATACTTTTTGTATACTTAGATGATTGTATACTTAGATGATTGTATACTTTGATGATTGTATACTTAGATGTTTGCAAACTAAGTATACCCTTTGCATACTTATATGATAAGCATAAAACAATAATTTTTTTTTGCATTAATATCAAAAGCCAAAAGAATTTGTTTAAATTGTTTAAATTGGCTATCATTTAATGACACATGTGGCCCACATCAAATTTTTTTTTCTCCATCCATTAGAGATCTGATAAGAAAATTTGCTATAACCCCTGTATATGCCAATATTTTACATTATATAAAAACACATAATCTTAATATGTAAAAATATTATAATAAAATGCAAAAGTTTTTCAAAAATTTTTTATAAAACATTTTAAGAGAGAATAAATTTTAAAATAAAACCTTTCATAACCATATAATTTAATATTTCGAGTAATAAAAGTATATTAGTTTTTTTATAACCATAAAACTATATTATAATATACAACTAATAAAAAAATATTATAATATACAACTAATAAAAAAATTAAATGAATGCAAAGAATCTTTAAGTTTAAAGAAAAAGATAAACATTATTAATCAGTTCCTTAGTTATTCAACTTAAAGCACCATATTTTAAAGAAAATACGTGTGACCGTTTCATTTCGTTTCAAATCAAAAATTTCCAATAAATATGAATAAGCATGAAATTTGTTGATACTTAATAGAATGATATTTTGAAAAATTCAATAAAAACTAAACAAACTATTGTGATCAAAATAAATTTCTACATTGACAAAACTAAATAAGTTTATTGTAAACTTAATAAAAAGAATCTTAAATAGACAGATAGCTGTGTAATATAATAAATAAATAGATAGCTGCGTAATATAATAAATAGACAGATGGCTGTGTAATATAATATATAGACAGATAGCTGTGTAATATAATAAATAGACAGATAGCTATGTAATATAATATATAGACAGATAGCTGTGTAATGTAATAAATAGACAGATAGCTGGGTAATGTAATAAATAGACAGATAGCTGTGTAATATAATAAATAGACAGATAGCTGTGTAATGTAATAAATAGACAGATAGCTGGGTAATATAATAAATAGACAGATAGCTGTGTAATATAATAAATAGACAGATAGCTGTATAATATAATAAATAGACAGATAGCTGTGTAATATAATGAATCTGAGTTGAAATATAAAACAAAAAATTGCCCAAAAAACATTACTGTGTTCATAAAAAGAATGTATATAAAAAGTATGAGCTTAAAGACATAACAAAGTTATGTAAAATATAATTTTAATTTTCTTTTAGCTCATAACTTTTATGATTCTCTATATTTTTTTAATGTTATTTTATTTTTATACATTTTACATTTTTATACCTTTATATACATAACATTCCTTTTGTTCTGTATAGCATTTATCAGCTAAGTATCTTGTTCTGTTAGTAAATCCATAACCATTTGATGTATTGCAACTTGACCAGTTGCTCCATTGTAACAAAGAACCTACAGTCACAAAACTTAATTAATAAATTAAACTTTATTGGTTGAAAAAATATAGTCTTGAGTAGAAAGAAACAAAAAATATGTTTAATACAAACTAATGCAGACTAATAAAGTTGAAACCTTTTTGATTACAAATCATGCTAATGCAGACATAAAAAAGTTAATATTTAATAATAAAGTAGTAAAGTTATCACAAACTAATACAGAGGTAACAAAGTTAATATTTAGAATATTTAGAGATAACAAAGTTAATACATACCTTTACAGAAGTAACAAGATTAATATTTAGAAATAAAGAGATAAAAAAGTTAATATATACTAATACAGAGGTAACAAAGTTAATATTTAGTAATGCAGAGATAACAAAGTTACAACATACTAATAAATAGTATAATTGTATAAGACAATTGGCTTTTCATAAATAAAAATAAGAAAGTTAATAAAATAATAAGAATAAGATAAATAGTTATTCAACCCTATATTGCGCCTATATTGTATTTAAAGAAACACAGTGTATTTTACTTGTTTTCACAGTGTTAATTAAAAAAAATATAGCTATTTTTAATATATTCGTAAAGTATAACATTAAAACGAGACAAAAGTGCAAAAAAACAATCACTGGTTTCATAAAATCTAAAAGTTATTGCAAAAAGTTTAAAGCCTGCTTTAAATTCGTTAAAGATATTGTTCATTTGCTTTTAAAAACTTATTGAATTATATGAAAGTTATGCTTTTTGATTTTTTTTATCATAAGTTCTTATAAGATTAGGCATTAGAATTATCTATTTTTATTTGAGTCATTGTACTTTGCTCTTTAGATACAGCTTAAATTTAGTTTGTTTCTTTAAAGCAACAATATCCGTTTAGCTATAATAATCAAGTAAATAATTTATTTATTTAATTTTAGATGAATGTTAGAAATTTCTATAGCAGTAGAAGAAAATCGACACAAGTTAAACAAAATCTACCAGCCCCTGATGTTTCAGAGGAAAGTGACTTGTCAAGTGATAGCGAAGACGAGATGCTTGATTTAATAGAAATTAAAGAAGAGGAAGATATCTTAGATAGCAGTAGTGATGATGAAATAGGTGCTCTCGTAGAAAATACCAAAAAAATTAATAAGGCCAAAGATAAGTTGGTTTGGATAAAACAAAATCCAAATACTATTACTAAATTAGAATTGGAGTTTGAAGATGATCCTGACAATGATGAGACAATATATTTCTTTAGGAAATTTATCCCAAATGAACTACTTGATATAATTGTAAACGAGTCTAACAAATATGCTGTTCAAAGCAATCCAAATGACCCTTTGAAAATAACAAGAGCAGAGTTGGAACAGTTTATTGGGATATTGTTTGCTACAAGCTTAATGAAAATGTCTAGCACTCAAATGTACTGAGTAAAGAGTTCTACTTTAACAAAGTTGCAGATGTTATGACTTTAAAACGCTTTGGAAAAATTAAAAGCCAATTGCATTGCAGTGATAATTTAAGCCGCCAAGATAATTGTTCCGATAAACTATACAAAACCCGTCCAGTGATTGATTATTTAAAATATAAATTTGTTCAGCTAAGACAATATGAACAACTCTGCATTGATGAACAAATTGTTCCATTCAAAGGAAAGTCAAATTTAAAGCAATATAACCCAAAAAAGCCCAAAAGGTGGGGTTATAAGCTGTATGTGCTATCTGGAACTGACGATTTGGTTCATAATTTTGAAATATACACAGAATCTATTGACACGTGTCCAAATCAACCAGATCTTAAAGCTTCTGAAAATATTGTTTTAATCTTTTTGCAAAATATACCTCGTAATAGATGGCTTAAACTTTATTTTGACAACTGGTATACAAGTTTACCCCTTGTAAAGCTACTAAATACTCAAGGAATTGCATGCTTAGGAACAGTGCGTTTGAACCATCTGTTAAACTGTAAAATAACATCTGATAAGGATATGAAAAAGGATGGTAGAGGTTCAGTTGAACTGTGGACTGTAGATTCTGATGGAGTAAAACTACATGCCATAAAATGGTATGATAATCGTAATTTTGTAATTTTGCTGTCTACATATGAGAGCATCAATCCCTCCACAGAAGTCGAGCGCTTTGATAAAAAGTTAAATAAAAAAATTAAAGTAAAATGTCCTTCTGTTGTACACACATACAAAAAGTTTATGGGTGGTGTAGACCTCTTAGATTCATTGATGGGTCTTTATAGAATCCAGATAAGATCTAAGAAGTGGTACCATTAGTTGTTGATACATTGATTTGATATGGTTATTGTTCAAGCTTGGATTTTATACCGTAGATGTGTTTCTGGCATTACTAAGATCTTGAAACTGCGTAAATCTAAGATGCAAATTTCAAATTGTTTATTGCAACAAGATAAAGCTGGTCCTTCAAAAAGAGGACGTCCATCAACATCAAATGTTGAACAGGAATTAGCAACAAAAAGATCACGTGGTCCAATAGTCTCAGTACTTGCCATTTGAATAGATGGTTTGCATCACTGGGCGAAAACTTTATGCCTCATGGGAAAAAGGGACGTTGCAAAAATGGCGATTGCCAAATGATAACCAGAGTTATTTGTGAAAAGTGTTAAGTTAATTTGTGTTTTACAGCCAAATCCAACTGTTTCAAACACTTTCACACTGAATAATTTATTCTTTATTGTTTTATAATTATAACCTTTTATAAATTCTTTTGTGGTATTTTAATTGAATAATTTTACAATTCTTAGTGTATAATTCTTTGTGTGTTTTTGAGTGTGTTTGTGGTTTTGTGTCAAATTGTTTAGGAAATTTTTTTGATATAAGTTAAATAAAAAAAGATCAACCTATTGCGCATTGTTTCTTTAAAGAAACAAAGACCAAAAAGACCTTTTGACTACATACTTTTTTTTTTTAAAAAAAATTTCATATTTTTTGATGTGCTTTAGGTTGAAAAAAAAGATTGCAAATTTTTTCTATTTATTTTTCATAATGTGTGCAATATAGGGTTAATAAAATAAATGATAAGTAATTATTTAATAAAATAATAACTTAGTTAAAAGTATTTAAAAAAAAAAAATTATTAAAACGAGAAAAGAAGAGTTTAAACTAAATTAATAATAATGATAAATGTAAATGCTTCATTGTAGCTAAGAACCTACAGCAAATTTAATTATTTCAATAAACAACTAAAAATTCAAAGTGGATAACGAAAATAAAAATCTTAATACTAATACAGTTTTTAATAAAATTAATACACTACTAAGTTTTTTCTTCAGAGGTAACAAACTTAATACATACTAATACAGTGGTAGTTAAGTTAAGTGTTTAAAAGAAAAACAGGTAATTATTATAAAAGAATTTTAACCAGATTAAAAAAAAAATTAAAAATACATGACTTTTTAAGTTTTCTAGGATAATCTTTGTAACTTTCTAGGGCATTTGCTTCATTATTTCTAGGACTAATACAGGACTTACCAAAAAATAAAATATTAAATTTCACAACTTTCCAGAACTTATTTTCTTCATTGGCAACCCAAAATGACATAAAATGTCAAAATTATGTTTGACAGTCTTGCGAGGATAATTCTTCAATAACTTATAATTACTTATAATTTATTTTCAGTTGTAACTTCAGGTTTTCCAAAGCGATGAAATCTTTTCAAAATATGACTTCTTCCTGAGTTAAAAATATTGCAGAAATAAGTTCAGAAATTTTTCTGTCCATTTTTATACACAGCTTTATGACTATTTTCTTTTTTTCCACAGCTTTTATAACTAATTACTTTATTTTATTTAAAACTTCCTTAGTCTTTCCCATGCTTTTAAAATATTATTAAGTAATAGAATTATTAAAGTTTACAAAAATTTTAACTGTTATTTACATCACTGCTTTTAAAATCTCAAAGTGATATATTAATTTAAAAAAAATTTGCTTTTGCTTATGAACACTTGATATAATTTAAGAGAATGATACTCTTTCTAAACTTTTGGTTAGAAGCTTTTTTAAAAAAACATTTTTTTAAAATTAAAATAATATAAAGGAAATTTTATAAAAAACTTTAGCTTATTTAAGAATGTTTGTAAAATGTTATGTGTTAAAAACTTAAACAAAGTTTATGTTAATAAATTTTACGCACTACTGTATGGGCTAGTTCTAGAATATCCATTAAAAACAATATAAAACTAAAATAAATAAAAAATAAAAAAAGATGGAAGATATTTGAAACAAACAATAATAAATTGAAAAATGTACAAATTTCCATGATACTTTCAAGATTTTTTAGAATAACTAAGAAAGTCATGGATTTTCTAAAACTACTTTCAAATTCAAGGACTTTCCATGACTGGTGGGAAACCTCTATAAAAAACAATCCTTCCATAATTATATCAAAATTGTGATTCCTTATTTAATTTTTTGTTATAATAACGTAATTTAACTTGAGCGTTACATAAGTTAGTTATAAACGCAAAAAAATTTATGAATAAAGCAACATTTTTATTTATAAATCATAAATAAAACAAACATTTGCATGATATTATGGGAGCATAATACTTAATAATTTTTTTTTTCAATTTAAACAAAGGACTATAACAGTTATTTGGTAAACAAAATTCTGAAATAAATTCAATTCAATTGTCTACAAATAAAAGTCAATTTACAAATTTGTATGTTATTTTATAAAATAACATACAAACTTCAAAGTAAATTATAAGCCTACACAATGAAAAGTAATAAATAAAAACATTTTTTGATAAAACTGCTTGATTGTTGGCAACAAAAAGATTTTTTATTGAGCCATTTTAAGAAACATCCCATGGATTTGAAGCATATATTATGACATTTTTTAAACTTTGAACTTGTGTGTTGATTAAAGATACAATGTATACATTAATGACTTGAATTCTGTATAAATAACTTTCATTTGAAAAAATTTAAATGATCTTGATTTTTGACCATTGATTTAGTGGAAGTGCATATTCAGAGTCATTTTTTAACACAAACA